CTATCCTCCTGGAGTACTGTCTCTTAGCCTCTCTGATGCCGCGGGATAGGTTGGCCCTAGCTGTCTTCAGGCCCACCTCATCTCCAGCTCTGAAGGCAGCGTTCCGCGTCATCAGAAGTCCGTAGACCTCCCCTGTTAGCCACGGCTTCTGGTTGGCCCGGACAGTGATGGTCTTTGTGACTGTTACATCATCAATGCACTTGGTGATGTAGGCAGTGACAGTCTCTGAGTACTCCTGGAGGTCTGTGGTGTTATTGTATGTGGCAGCCGGCTTAAACATATTCCAGTCAGTGGTGTTAAAACAGTCTTGAAGAGCCTGAATCAACCATCAATTCAGCGAACACTTGAGAAACAAATCTAAAAAAGAAAGAAACGTATTACTCTTCCAAATATTCTGTATGTTGCTTAAAAAATAAAATATATTGGTCACTGGAAAAAAAGTTTTACCCAGACATTTAAAAAGAACTAATGTTAGAGCTGTATCCACAATACCTTGAAACTGTGAAACCTTGATATTTTTACTTTAGACTATCATACCGTCAAAATCTCTTACCGGCCCATGCCTAGATGATGGTGCACTCAAGTGACGGGAGTATATTTGCAGATGGGATATTCGCATGATTTAAGAATGATCAGTTACTGTAGAAGCTGATAGTCAGATGAGCTGGTGAGTTCTATGCTAATTCTAATCTTCCTTTTGCCATGGATTTCACAAGTAAACAGTTGCATATCAGATTAAGCAAATTGCATGCATGTTTGGCATGCTGTGCGAGAGGAGGGCTCCAAGCTTGGAATTTAGCCCAAACACCAAGCTGGGAAATTACTAGTTAGCAGTGAGGAGCTGGGCTGGAGGAGGGATGCCAGAAAACTGTCATGGAGCAAAGCTAAGTTGGCTGTATATATACTTACTATTGTTCTAATTGAGTTGATTATCTGAACGTGCTCCACCTGTGCTAAACTGGGGTGCATTTCCCAAAAGCATGGTCAGCTAACTACATTTACATTTAGTCATTTTGCAGACACTTTTATCCAAAGCAACTTACAATTGCTAACTATGGTTGTTAGTTCCATTGAAATCTATTGGTAATGACGGAATTTGCGACCATAGTTGCTTTTGGGAAACGCACCCCTAGTTGATTATCTGAACATGCTCCTGCCAAACTTTGTTAATAAAACATCATAAGGTGACACTTCAAACTTATCAATCCTTGCACAAACAACTTAAACCCATCAGCAACAACCCAGGTAGGACTTGAACCCACAATCCCTAATTTCAGAGGCTGATGTCTTATCCATTAGGCCACTGGTTTTTTCCCCTGGGTAAGCCAGAGTTATTCACAGTCTGGCAACAATTGATACAAGACTTTTGATGTGTAGTATACCTTTAAAGAGTTTCTGACACTCAAAAACCGAGAGGAGGGCTCCAAGCTTGGAATTATTCACAGTCTGGCAACAATTGATACAAGACTTTTGATGTGTAGTATACCTTTAAAGAGTTTCTGACACTCAAAAAACAACACTTTAGTATTATGACGGCAGGTTATTACAGCGGGAGCAGTCAGTTTGGCAGTGTGGATCCATAATTACAAATGCTTTCTTTTTAATTAATTTATTTTTTTGACATGATTATTCAATATTAACATGATAAATGTACAATGTGCTTTCCATAAATACAGTCCGTTAACAGCAAATCTTTAAGACATTGTGACATGAATTCTACTTCAAATAGACTACAAAAGTAACTTATGAACAATAATAACAAATAACTAAACAAATCCAAAATGTTTTTAATCCAGCTAATAAGGATGTATTTCCTTGC